CCTCCGAGGAGGAGGGGCCTCCGAGGAGGGGGGGCGGCGGGCACTGGCGGCGCGGGGGAAGGGGGGGGGCGGGGGGGGGGATACAGTCGGGCTGCTGAAAGAAGGAGCGATCAACAAGGAACGGAGCCCCTTTTTGGCCCCACAAGCGCCTGCGTGCCCGAGGAAGGCCAGAGGAAAAGCCATGGAAGGACCGAAGGAATATCGGGCCCCTTTCTTACCCAAGCTGTTCCTTGTTTCAGCGACTTGGCTGTATCGAGAGCAGGACAGCGGGGGGGGGGGGGCGCAGCTGGGGCGGGGAAGGGGGGGGGCGGAGGAGGGAGGAAGGGCCTCCGAGGAGGTTCCAGAGGCGGTTTCCGCCCCGCGGGGGGGGGGGGGGGCGGCCCTGCTGCGTGCGCCCCCACCCCGCAGGGCGCAGCCGGGTCGTCACAGCTAAGGCAATGCACTGTCTCCCGGGATTGGGCCCCACCATGGTGTCGGAGGCGGAGGGGGGGGGAGGCGGCATCCGTTCCCCTCAGGGCGTGGCTGGCGACGGGCAGCCGTGCCCATCTGGGCGTCGCTGGGAGAACACGGGGCGTGGCTGGTGAAGAGCAGCTGAACACCACAGGGCGTGTGTGCGCGTCGAGCAGAGGGGGCAAGGGAGGGGGAGGGATGCAGAAGCTGGTCCCCGCAGGGCGTGGCAGGCAGGAGGCAGCTTGCACCCTGCAGCGCATGGCCGGCTCAGCACCGAGACGATGCCGGAGCCGTACCTTGCAAGGCGTGTCGGATGGCACCCGTGCCCCTCAGGGCGCTGCTGGGGAGAAGAGGGGGGGGTGACGAGCGAGGGAGGGAGACGGAACGGGGGAGACTGAGGTGAAGGAGGAAGATCAGTGTGAACCCAAGACTCATCGACGATGTTGGAATGAATCCTCCCTCCGAGTTCCCTCTTCACAGGCCCCATAGAATGGCTCATTTCCCCTGAGGAAGTGCCCCGTCGGGAGACAACCGTTTGAAGATCCTGAAACGTGCTAAAACACCATCCTCGGAACTCCAACGCCACGAATCCACCTGACTGTTTCGTTTTGACGATCTGAATCGTGCCAGAACGCTGTTCTTGGGACTTGAACGCGGCGAATCCATGTAGCAGTTACGCCCTGACAATCCTGAATCGTTCCAAAACACCAATATTGATACGTTGACTATGGGGACCCGCGAAATCTATCAAGTTTTTGTGGGCGGAGCCGAAATCTTTTGAATGTTTGACTCCGCTCTCCGCTGATTGCCTGACCGATTGAACTGGACTGATTGAACTGGGGGGCACTATTGACAACGCATTTCACACCGCCCAGGCGCACCCGCAACCGCAACCAGGCGACACGTTTCAGCCCACCCGCGGGCGCAACAGCAACCGCAACCGCAACCGGGCGACACATTGCAACCCGCCCGCGGGCGCAACCGCCCGAGGAGCAGGATGTACAGGAGGAGGAGGAGGAGGAGGAGGAGGAGGAGGAGGAGGAGGAGGAGGAGGGGAGGAGGAGGAAGGGAGGAGGAGGAAGAGGATTCGCAGGACGGCCAGGACGGGTCGGGGAGGAGGAGGACGAGAAGGAGGAGGAGAAAGAGGATGGGGAGAGGAGGATGGGCAGGACGGCCAGGAGGTGGAGGAGGGGGGAAGGAGGAGTAGGCGGAGGAGGAGGAGGACGACGACGATGAGGAGGGCGATGCAGGGTGGTCGTGTTTCAGAGGGTTGCAGGAGCAGGTTCCGGTGGAGGAGGAAGGCCAGTGGCACGATAGGAAGAGAAGGAGAAGGAGGCCGACGAGGAGGAGGAGCAGGAGGAGGAGGAGGAGGAAGAGGAAGAGGAAGAGGAGGAGGACGCGTTGCCCGCGGTTCTCCGCCGGGACATTGCAGCGGGGAATCCATTCCCTCCTGTGCCTCTGATTAGAGCGAATGTGCGCGGCGCTACGGCGAGAACCATATTTTGAAAAGGAACCGCCCTCAACCCGGGAAGCTCCTCCAACGAGTTCGACAGAAAGTGCGTGGTGTTAGGACGAGAACCACATGTTGAAAAGGAACAGCCCTCAACCCGTGAAAGTCTTGCAAAGTTTACAACGCACGTGCGCGGCGCTTAGGCGAGAGCCACATTTTGAAAACGATCCGCGCTCAATCCGTGAGGTTCCTGCAATTTTTCAAACAGTTGTGCGCGGCGCTGGGTCGAGAGCCACATTTTGAAAACGACCCGCCCTCAATCCGTGAAGCTCTTGCGGATGGTTAAATCGAATGTGCGTAGCGCTGAGGCGAGAGCTACATTTTGAAAACGATATGCCCTCAGTCCGTGAAGCTCATTTAGTTGTTTGAGATGAACCTGCGCGGCGGTAAGGCGGTAGCCACATTTTGAAAACCACGCGCCCTCCATCTACAAAACTGCTGTCAGCCGCTAAGTTTCAGGATCGCACATGGTAAGGAAGTCTCAGGCGTAGCGCCCGGCCCGCCCTTCCGAGCGGCTTCGGGGCGCGACAGGGATGAGTTATGCTGAGGAAAAGGAATGCAGGAAGAGGTGGATGAGGAGGGGTCGGATTTTGTGTTTGGCCTCAACGGCTTCACCATGTAACATAAGAAACGAGCGCGAGCAGTGTGGGACCTGGAAGCGCGGGCTGACAGTCACAGCCAGCAGACAAGCTGAGGGTGTAGAAGGGCGTTCCACGAGACCGTCTGCAGCGACCCCCCGCAGGGAGTCCTCTCCGAGGCACACCAGGCCAGGAGGCCTGGCTAATTACACCTGGGCCAGGGCCTGCAGTGAGAAACGACACACGCACATACAGCAGTGGTACTGAGGATGCAGCAGGGCGCGTTGCGAGATCCACGACCCGGACCCTCAGCAGGGTGGCCCCCCACAGGCACACCCAGCCAAGGGACGAGGCTACACCTGGACAGGGGCCTGAAGCACAGGTTTGCGACGCATGCACAGAACTGGCGGGTGGACGCATGGCTCCTCCCAACCCGCGACGCCTACCAGGCGTGCAAGCAGGACCAGGAGGACACGGACGAGGAGGACACGGACGAAAGGATGCCAGCCAAGCCCAGGGTGTGACGGGGTGCCGCAGGCGAAACCCGTCCCAGAGTCCCAGGGCGGGGTTGCCCCCCCCCCACACACACAGGCACACGAGGCCAAGGGGCCAAGCTACACCTTGACGTGGCCGAATGAAGCACAGAGAGCTGCCGATGTGCAGGTGGAACCTCGCGGCCCGAGTCCCAGGGCTTACCACGAGCATGGCAATGCAGACGCGAGAGGGGCCAGGAGAGCAGAGAGGTGTTTCCAAGCCAAGCTCAGCGGCGCCAAGCCCTTCGGGCATCAAGCTAATCCGAACCATCGCTATCAGCCTGACAGGGAGTCTCCACCAGTGGGCGCACGTGCTCCTCGTCACGCAGGGCTTCTGCGACGCTCCTCAGGGGAGACCAAGCAGAGGCAGAGGCAGGGCTTGCGGAGGGCACCTCCCGAAGGTACAGTGCCTCGCCCACCCTGCACAGCATGGCAAGAGGCGAGGGCGGGGCAGGCGTCGAGCCCAGAGCAGAGCCCGAGATCCTCCGCAGCCGCGAGCTCGACGTCGTTGTCGCCAGCATCCCCCCTCCCCTTCCTCGAACGAAGCCTTCTCCTCGAGAGACTTCATCCATGACAGGCGTGCCGCCACTATTGTTGCCGACTTCCCCGCGGCCGCACGCAACTGACTGGGACACTGGTGCTAAGATCACCGTGATGGTAAGGCTGCAAGCTGGGCGGCACGCAAGGAATGCAGATGTCCGTGTCCACTGTCGCACCCTGCTTCCGACGCGACCAGTGAGGACGTCTACCTCTGCACAAGTCGAGCCAGCCATAGTGTGCCGCACGGGACAGAGGGACAAGACAACGCTCAGCCAAAGTTCGAACGTGACCACCAGTCGAATGGCACTTGCAAAGAAGACAAACGAACAGCGCATATCCATCATTGCAGTCAAAGGCGACCGTCTTGTGTTCTAACTTCTCCTGACGGGCCTGGAGGAGGGGGACGGTGGTGTAATAGAAAGAGGAGGAGGAATGATGGGTAACTTTCTCTTGGGGAGCGGTTTGGCCAGATCTTCGAGGTGGAACTGGTCGTGGCGACGAGGACGCCCCAAGAGGCCCCGCAAAAGGTTCCAAACAGCCATGGAACTTAGACCCTCGATCTTGGATGCCGCTCCTCGTCCACTTTCCCCCCCTCCCCCGCGCGCGGGAGCCCGCGGGAAGGAGTCGGGAAGAGGATGGGAATGGATGCGGAGAAACGAGCGCGTAGGAGCGATGACGGAGCGAGGTGGAGGAGCGAGGAGGAGAAGGAGGAGGAGGAGGAGGAGGAGGAGGAGCCAACGAGCGAGCGAGCGAGGATGCAGGAGGAGGAGGATTTCCTCCTCTCCCTCCCTCTCTCCCTCCTCCCATTCTCCTCTTTCCCTATTGCTCTCCCCTCACTCCTCTCTCCATCCCTGATATTCCGTTTCTTAGGGTGTGCGTGTCCTGTCGCCTGTGACTGGGAAGTCTGCTTGCCTCCACCATGGCAGTGAGAACAATGCCCGAGATAGGCACACCTCTCCCGTTGCGCGGTGTCGGGACATTCGGCCGACACGCCTGATCCTGATGGATCCTCATCTCAAAGTGGGACAGCTGCCTGAGAAGGAGAAGGGTGAAGGAAGGACGGGAGGGAGGGATGGTGGGAGGGAGGACAGGAGGGACGGAGGGAGGGAGGAAGTGAGAGGAGGGAGGAAGGGAGGGAGGAAGGGATGGAGGAGGGAGGAAGTGAGGAGGAGGAGGAGGAGGAGGGAGGAGGAGGAGGAGGAGGAGGAGGAGGAGGAGGAGGAGGAGGAGGAGGAGGAGGAGGAGGAGGAGGAGGAGGAGGAGGAGAGAGTGGGTTGAGCAGGGGGGAGGGCGAGGAGGAGCATCCAGAGGCCCCCTTCCCTGGCCCCTCGCCGCGCGTGGCCCGAGCCAGCGAGGAGGAGGTGCCTCCGCTCGCCCACGCGGGCGGCCATGGAGGGCCTTCCCCGCGACGGCGGCCAGGCCGGCCCGCCGCATGCTGGGGCGGGGGCAGGCCAGGGAGGGCTTGGCACCGCTCGGACGTGTGCCTTTTTTCCCCTCTCATCCTCGCCCGTGTCCTCCTCGTCCTCGCCCCCTCCTCGTCCTCCTCGTCCTCGCCCCTTGTCCTCCTTGTCCTCGCCCTCGTCCCTGTCCTCCTCGTCCTCGCCCTTGTGCTCCTCCTCCTCGCCCTCGTCCCTGTCCTCCTCATCCTGGATGACTTAGCGAAAAAAGCACGCAAGAAAGCGACAAACATACTAGGGATGGACGTCCGAGCGACGGCAGGAGGGAGGGGGCAACAGAAAGAAGGGGTCCAATAGCGGGCTGCCCTGGAATTCGTCCGTGCCCGTGGCGCTCCTGCAGGGTCGCGCGAGGGCCCGCGGTGTCTCGCGCCCTGCTGGTTGGATTGGAGCTTTACAAGGAACACAACGGTGGCCGCGGTGCGACGGGAGGGCGAGAGAGAGAGAGAGCGAGTGTGAGAGAGAGACACATATTGCGTGAGGTACGCAAACAAAAGGAGCTACGTATTCACATGTGTATGTATGTATAGATGTGTACACATATGTATATGTATATACAGTCAGAGGGTGAGTGTGAGACAGCGAGACACCACACATGTACGCGATCACGCCGACTCGGACCGCGGGTCCGGGCGCCGGTCGGCACGCAGGGGGCGCGCGCGCATCGCGCTTCTGGCTGGCGCAGCAGCGACACGGAGCGAGGGACAGTCGCCGAGCGCGTTCCGCTGCTCGCAGAGTGCCTACTCTCGAAGAAGAAAAAAACACATCAACATAAACTTTTGGCGCTCCGCGCGGATTTCTTGGATCGGCGCTGGGCCCCCCCCTATCGTTGCCTCTGGCGCCGCCCCTGGCGCGCTCCGCGCGCCGGGGAGGGGGGTCTGGCGCGGATCCAAGAAATCCGCGCGGACCTCCAAAAGGTATGTGTATGTGTTTTGTTGTTCCTCTATGCTCGCAAACCATTGCGCAATGGATCTCAAACTTCCCGCGGCGGACCCTGGCCATGTGCGAGCAATTACTTTGCGAGTAGCGGGGCGCGCTTGTCTGGAGAGGGTGGAGCTCGGGCTCCGGGACAGTTGGTTTTTCAACTCCCATGGGTCCCAGGCGGATTTCGATCTGGTGGCGTTCGGCCCACCCCGCCACCCACGGGTGCCTGGGTCGCGGACGGGAGGTCTTTGGAATGCCTTTTGGGGTGGGGCCTCGCGAAGGCCTCTTTTTAGGGCTTCTTGGTACCCTACTGGGGGGGCCTCTTGACGCCTTGACGCCCATGAGTCCCAGGTAGAGCTCTGATTATGCAGGGCCGAGCTGCTTACCTATACGAGATGGGTGGGGTGGCCGGGGCTCTGTCAAGCAGTGGCGAAGTGTCCTGGCTCACCTATAGGCCCACCAAAGAATGTTCTAAGAACCGTTTCTGGTTTGCGCGAAATGTTCTTAGAACAGTTCTGGCCGGGACACCCTTGTTCGAACACGTCGGGGTTCTGTTCTAAGAACAGCGCGTTTGTTCTCAGAGCATGTTGGGTTCTGAGAAGATTTCGTGGTAGGCCTATAGAAATGCCGGGACGGTCGGCCCCTGCTCAACTCTGGTCGGGTATAGCCAGGACCCCAGGTAAGGGGACCCGGTTAGTGGCAGGGCCCTGGAGCCCTAATCATTAAACCAGGTCTGCCGTAGCTGGTGTTTTTTGGGGTGACGGCAGGTCCGGTTAGTAGAACGAGCGGGAGGGATTTGGGCCGTTTTGGGGCTGTCTTGGGCCGTCCTGGGCGGCTTCTGGGGCTGTCTTGGAGGCCTCTTGGGCCGTCTGGGGCGCCTGTTGGGCCTTCCTGGGGCCGTCTTGAGCCGTCCGAGGTCCCTCATGGAGGCATCTTGGTTGCTTGTATATAAGTGTCGTGGACGCCTCGGAGACGAAAAATTCACGCTTTTCCGAGGGAGGTGGACGATGTTTGCATTTTAGTGCTCTCCTGGATGAGTCTTGAGAGCCTCTGTCGCGCTCTCTTGGACCGCCCTGGGGCCCGCCGCAGCGTCTCCCCAGTACACATCACTAAACCAGGTCCCCCTAAACTTAAGTCGGGCTTGTCCCTCTACAGGGGGAATCTTCAAAAATCGTAAAACATAGTCTGGGGACAATGTTTGGAATGCTTTTTGACCATGTTGGATTATGTTGGGGGTATTTTTTGAATTCTTCGTCGAAAGTCCCCCTGTATATAGGGGGACACGCCCGACTTGACACGGGGTGCATGCTTTTGTCGATTTTGGATTCTTTTTGGGGGTTATTTTTTTCTTTTTCGTCGAAGCTCCCCCTGCAGGGGCACACGCCCGACCTGACACTGAAGCCAGCTCTGCCCGCGCCCGAATCGGCGGCGGTCCGGGCGGGGGGGGCAGGAGCTGCGCGCCGTTGCCGGCGGCTCGGCCTGCGCGGCTAAAACAGGGCTAGGATCGGGATAAATCGCTCCAGAGCGTTCCGGGGCGCTCTCAGAGCGTTCCGGAACGCTCTGGAGCGGCCGCGGCGCCCAATACATCCTCCAAACCCGCCGATTCTCAGAGATATCGAGTTATCCCGATCCGATTTTGTCCCGATCTTCGCGTCGTTTTAGCGGCCTGCGCGGCCGCGCCTGGCCAGGCGCTGGTGCGAAGCCCCGGCCAACGGAGGCAGGCAAGTCGTCTTTGTTGTATCGATTGGCATCGCTCGGAGGTGTGCAGTTTTTTCTCGGCGAGGACCGTCGAGGAGCATCTTTTTGATCATTTAGCGAGAGAAAAAAAAGCAGCACGCGCGAAATCGAAAAATGCACGGGGAATGGACGTCCGAGCGATGGCGATGGCGTTGTCCTTGCTGTATCGTTATGGAGGGCGACCAATGGAGAGGAGGCATGCTGCCAAGTAATTTCCAGATGCCCAACACATGTGTTTAAAAAGCATGCCCTGAACATGCAGAACGCATGTTTTAAACATTTCAAGGCGAGTTGTCCTTGTTGTCCTTGCTGCATCGGGGAAACGCAAGATCGGGGGCGGCAAAGAGGGGGGTGATGACTAGGGGGGGTGGACATCATGGCGGGGGCCATGATATTTCCTCAGATTTCATGGCGCCTCGTCTTATTCCATTACGTCCCTGGCCCCCCCACTGGGCCGCGCACATGCCGCCGGTCATGATTTGCGCCCCCCCCCTCTTGGACACCCCCTTCGTGGCCGCTCCCGAGAAGACGTAAGACTCGAGTTAGCCGGAACTCGGGTTTGCCAACGTTTTTGGACGGGGGCGTCCTGGAATTGGACGGTCCAGTCGTCGTGGGATGTTTGCAGCGGGAGCTCGCGAAGCCCTGGCCAACCGATGTACAGTGCCGTTGTTAATCATGTATGAATACATGCAGGGATTCAGTACTAAAAACAATGATGAGTTCATGCATCAATTTATTCATAAATTAATCATGTATTAAAATCCTATATTATTTTAAAACTCCTATGTATTAAACACTGCCCTGTACGGTGTCCTTGTCGTGCCTGGTGGCCGCCTCGAGGTCGTCCACAGGTTGGAGATGGAGGTTTTCTCCGAAGGGCTGAGGCGACCCGAGCTCCTCCTCTCTCCTCCTCCGCCCCCCCTGCCTCCTCCTCCACCTCCTCCTTCTCCTCACTCCTCCCCCCCTGCCTCCTCCTCCGCCTCCTCCTCCTCCTCCTCCTTATCCTCTTCCTCCTCCTCCTCATCCTCCTCCTCCCCCTACTCCACCTCCTCCTCCTCCTCCCTCTCCTCGGGGGGAAACCGTGCAGTTGGAGAACCAACTCTCGGGTGAACCCCGCCCAAGCTTCGAGCGCTGCGGCGGGCGAGCTGCAGGCCGCCGCGGCGCGCAGAGGTTGCATTGGCGTGCTGCGGGGCCAGTGCCTGCTAAACCACCCTCCGTCGAGGCCCATGCCGATTCGTTACACGCCGCGCTTGCGGGGATCACACCCGTGCTCGCCGGAGAGAGAGGCGCTCTCCGCGGGCCCGCCCGAGTGGGCGCGCTGGGGGCTGCGAGCCCTGCGCAGATCGTCCGCCGCGCCTGGCTGGCGCAAGCGGCAGATGCCAGGGCGTTCCGCGCGGCACATGGCTCAAGTCGCCGGCAAGCACGAATTCGGTCTAGCGTTCGACCTGTTTGGCAAGCGGTGGCATCCTGCAGTCAAGGCGCTGAGTCGAGGGCCCCTTTGAAGGGAGGAGGGGCCATGGTCTTCCTGCTTTTCAGGCCATTCCCTGAGATTAGATCCAGATCGGTTGGTAGACTCGTGGCCCCGGCTCTCCGCGGCCAGCCAAGAAGCCCTCCGTTCCTTATCCGCCACTCTTCGTGGTACCACGATGATTGTGATACGGATCATCCCCTCCCTCCTCTGGAGCTCTCCCCTCCCTCTGCTCCTCGCTCTGCTCATCTTGCTGCTGCTGCTGCTGCTGCTGCTGCTGCTGCTGCTGCGTGGCGGCCTCCCGCAGGACCACGGGGAGGCGCTGCGGCAGAAGTTCCTGGAGCTCGAGCGGCACAGGCCCCGGAGACATCCCACGCTGCGGCTGCCCGCCCTCCTCCATCGGAGGCGGCCAAGAGGGGGGTGATGGCCAGGGTTAAGTCGGGCCTGTCCCTCTACAAGAGGAGTGTTCAAAAATAGTCAAAAAATTGTCTGGGGACGATGTTTACACTATTTTTGATTATTCCTCGAAAATCCCCCTGTAGGGGGACAGGCCCGACTTAAGGCTAGGCGAGGGGGTGGACATCATGTCGGGGGCCATGATGCCTCCCCAGGCTTTCCTTTGCCCCCCGCCCTGAGCCGCGCACATGCCGCCGGCCATAATGTGCGCCCCCCTTCTTGGACGCCCCCCTCTTGGCCGCCCCCGACTCCATGCCCACACCACCGTGCGCAGTCGACGCCATTTCTTGTTCTGGACCAGCAGAGGAGGAGAGGGGAGGGAAGGGGAGGCAAGCTAGGTGCGCTCGCGTCATATCTAACGTCCTACCCCCCGCCCCCATCCCTTACCATGGCACAGTTGGATGTCGCAGCAGGGCATAGCATTACATGGCATAGCATGGCGTTGAAGATCAACGCGTAGCCTGACATAGCATGGCGTGGCGACGCCCCACAGTGGGGGCTTCGGCGGCCAAAATAATGAACGAACCGGCATCGAATGTGGAATTACTTCCGATGGTTTCTTTTCTGTTGTTAATATAGATTTGGGGGCTTATTTGGAAGGACCGAAAACCATGCCGTAGCATGGCACTGGAAATAAAGACGCCAGTAACCCCAGCAGGAAGCATTTAAGAACCCCCCCGGCGATATCTTAGCACCGCATTTTTATTCGATATTCCGAGGGGCCGAAATAACCGCACGATAGGTTTAGCACCCGGACACACAACAAATTCGCGGAGGCCTGGCCCCTGGGCTACAATCGAAATTCGAGGAGGAGGAGGAGGAGGAGGAGGAGGAGGAGGAGGAGGAGGGGGCAGGAGGAAGTTCGTGGGTGGAGGAGAGGAGGAGGAGGAGGAGGAGGAGGAGGAGGAGGAGGAGGAGGAGGAGGAGGAGGAGGAGGGCTCCTGGTGCCAGGTAACGCTTCCAGGGTGCGGAAGGGTTATCGATTTGCCGGAAGGGGGGGGGGAAGGTTCTTAAATGCTTCCTGAGCGGGAGCACGATTCGGAACGAGCGGAATCGCGGAAATGAGTCCAGCGCTGTAGCGGGAGCACGATCCAAAGCCAGCGCTGCAGCGAGAGCAGCATAAACAAACCCAAGCAACAACCCGTTTCCCGGGAATCTTGTGTGTGTAACAAACAAGTACGCGGAGCGGGGGCGAACATTTGCCGGACGTCGCCAGGGGAGAGAGGAGAGCAGTATTCATATCGTGTGAGTTTGGAGGGGTGGGGAGGGATGGGGAGGGGGAGGCAGGATCGCGGGGTTATTGACCGTCCTGATCCTTGTCAATCCCGCGGAGGCCTCTGGAGGCCTTCAGAGACACCTGGGTCTCGGGGGCGCCCTCTAGGAGGGACTTCCGAGGATCTTCGGAGGCGTGCCCCCGCTCACCCAGCGCCTCTGCTGGGGGGTTGTGACGTTGCGGCGGCCAGGAAGCACAAGCATCGTCGGGTCGCGGGCCCTACCCTGGGAGCTTGAGCACCTGGGAGAGCGCAAACCACTTGCATTAGTCTCGCACGGGGTTGCAGGATGAGGGGGGATAGCAGGAAGAGGAGGGGTACACTTGATCCTCACTGTGGCAGCACTGTCCGCTCACCTCTCCGCCTCTCCCTCTCCTTGCTTTCCTGCACCCCGCCTCGTCTCCCCGCCTTCAATGCCATCTCCCCCCATCTCATCCCTTCTCGTTATCCTGCCCCGTCCTTTCTCCTTCGCCTTCGGAGGAGGGGGAGGAGGAGAACAACTGGAGGAGAATGAGGAGGAGGAGGAGGTGGAGGAGGAGGAGGAGGAGGAGAAGGAGGAGGAGGAGGGGGGGGCGGAGGACGAGAAACAGGGAGGAGGAGAAGAGGAGGAGACGAGGGGAGCAGAAGGGGGAGCAGGGGAGCAGGAGAGGAGGGGAGGAGGATGGGGGAGGCGCGCGGCGCGCGGCCGAGTCGGGAGCAGCCGAGCGAGGCAGGGAAGGGAGGCGGGAAGCCCTGCCGGGCACACGACACTGCGGCAGCGGAGCGTCGGTCACCACCTACCAAACCACCCCAACCCAACCCGAAGGCCTCAATTTGCCCTCCATTTCCAGTGGGGGGGGGTCGGGGAACATCGAAAAAACACATATGGAGCCCATACCCCCCCCAACCCGAAATTCGGGTCTTCGGGTTGGGTTGGGGTGGTCTGGTAGGTAGTCAGACAGCGAGGCTGAGTCAGGAGCGCCCGTCGGGAGGAGGAGGAGGGGGAGGTGCGCAGCGAGCGGCTGAGTCGGGAGCGACCGCGCGAGAAAGGGAAGAGAGGCAGGAACGACACAACTCGGCGTCACCCCAACGTGCTTATACTATATGTGCGTCGCTCCCCCGGGGGCGACGCGCGCGCCGAGAAATCTTACGGCATAATACGTCGTGGCGGGCGCTTTCCGGCCACACCGCTCGGGAAACGATGCACTACAAGATGATCATACTACATGCTTGCGTCGGACGCGCGCCTCCAAGGCGAGCATGTAGTACTAGCACGTCTTCGCGCGTCCCCACTGCAGCAGCGGAGCGGCGGGAGCGCCGACGGTCCACCCCGACAGAGAGGGGCGACGCGTCGACGGAGAGGTGGTCCTCGAGGCCCTGGCGGGCCCGCAGGCGGGCTCGGCTCGGGCCCCCGGCCCCCGAGCTCCTCCCTGATGGTCCGCTACCGAAAATTTCTGGTAGCGCTCCGCAGAGATCGGTCGCTACCGAAATACCGAAATGTAGCGCCCAATACCGGTATCAGACCGTTCTGAAATCCGCTATTTCAACGCCCTCAAACGAAGATCCGGTCGCTATCGAAATTCGGGGTGCGTCGAAATCGCTACCGAAAATTTCCGGTACCAGACCATCTGGGCTCGGCCTCCTCCCGGGGCAGACCGACGTGCGCCAGCCCTCCTCGAGAGGGTCTGGCCGTGGGCCCGCTCCCGCCGGGGCTTCGAGGGCGGGCGGAGCACGCGCGGCCTCCAAAGGTCTCCCGGGCACCAGCAGCTTCCGCCTCGAGGGCCTCGTGGGGCCCTGCAGCTCCGGGCGTCGGGCCGCGGGGCCCATGCGTCGGGCGTCGGGCCGCGAGGCCAGAGACCAGGCGGCGCCGCGAGTCCGAGTCGCAAGGGTTACGACCTCTTGCGGGCCCCCGGAATTCCAACCTTGGGCGCAGCAGTGGGCTCCGCTATCCGTCGGAATTGCATCCATTCTCATCGCAGCACTTGAGACGACAGCCCCCGCGCCGACACACATACCAGCATCTTGTCCTCCCACTTCCTCGCCTGAGGGTCGAGGGACCACATGCCAAAAGCTGGTGCCCCCTCTGCCACCAAGGGCGGCCAGGGTGGACTTCAGAAGGAGGATGGGGGGAGGGGGCGACGGGACGGCCCGATCCTCACGACCCTCAGAGCGTGAATTACCTCCCCCGCTTTCGCTTCCAGGCAAAACCAAGCCATACCACGCGCCTCCTCGTCAAGCGGCCTGACCAGTACAGGCTGGAATTTGGCATCGTTTGGTATCTCTTGGAAGCGAGGGTGGTCAAAAGCGAGGTAGGTTTGTTTTCCCCCGAGACCCCGAGGCCCAGGTTCGGTTCGGTCGCCTTCGGTGGCGCGAGTCCGGCTCGCATCTGCCGGGCGGGTGCCGCTGCTCTGGGCAGCAAGCAGTCGAGGTTGGCCCAGTGAGGGCCCCAGGTCCAGCGCACAAACACGAGGCCTCACCAAGGCCCAAACCGTCGAAGGGATCGGCCGTCCTCCTTGCTCCTTCCCCCCCACCTCCTCGTACGCGGCCATGCGGTTGTACACGGCGTCCCCGACCACGAGTGCGGGCGCGGGAGCGGTGGGGGTGGGGGGAGAGGAACGGAGAGAAAGACAACAATGGACAGGCGAGCATGGACAGAAGTGCAACCCCCACCCATGATATGCTAACCCACCCACCGTCATGAAAGAGTGAGGGTGATTTGAGACATCGCATGTTGTTGAGGTCCCAGGCACGGCTTATGTTGCATACCATCTGAGACTCAGCGTGTGTCGGCGTGTAGCCAAGTGTTCGTCTGGTCCACAACCGAGCGAGTTTTCCCAAGCCGTCCCAAGGGGATCGCGCCAGCGAGCTACCTCCACACACACACACACACACACACACACACACACACACACACACACACACACACACACACACACACACACACACACACACACACACACACACACACACACACACACACACACCACACACACACACACACACACACACACGTCGTGTCGCAAAACAAGCGAACGTGCGCGCGAGGACGGGAGAGGGGAGGCGAAATGAGGAGCGAGTTTATATGAAGCAAGAAACTGCCGACGACTCAGTCCTCCAAACCCCACTCGGGGGAAAGCTCGCCGATATCCCAGGAACCTAGAGCTCCTGCGACCCTCAGGAAGAGAAGCACCATCCCACGAAGTCTCCCCCGTCCACCCCCGATAGCAACGGCCCTAGACAGTACTAGCCGGCCGCTCTGCGGTTGATCGGGAGTTTCTTTATATAGAAGAAGGTGCGTGCGCTTGTTGGCGAGGGTGAGGATGAGGTTCCTCCTCCTCCTCCTCCTCCTCCTCCTCCTCCTCCTCCTCCTCCTCCTCCTCCTCCTCCTCCTCATTCCTCCTCTGGGCACCTCCCCCGGGGCGCGGATCCACCGGATCTGTCCAGATCTGTCCGGAAACGGTGCCGGAGGCCGCTCTGGGCTCCTCTGGGCACCTCCCCCGGGGCCGGTTTTGTGAGGATGTCTCAAGCGAGGGCGCCGGTTTGGGATTCGTCACCGGATCCACCGGATCTGTCCGGAAACGGTGCCGGAGGCCGCTCTGGGCTCCTCTGGGCACCTCCCCCGGGGCCGGTTTTGTGAGGATGTCTCAAGCG